CAAAGAAGACAACAGAAAATAGCTTGCTACTTTAATGTTTATTTACTTATTTCAGATCCAACCTTTTTGATAGTATGTATGTTTTAAAGCAATAATTTAAAATATTAAATCAAGTAACAGAGGAGCCAAATCATATTTACTAAATTCTTGATTGCAGGTACTTAACTTGCCTTTTTTTCCCCGTGAACGGAAATAAAAATATTTTCGTAGTTCGTGTTTTTTTGGGGTTTGAAATAATAAGACAAAGCTAATGCCACTTTCGTGGCAGGCAGCAAGTGCACACAAACCCTGCGAACAAACTCCCCATATGGGGGATGAGAAGTCACAAGGCACTCAAAACTGAGACGGCAGATCAAGTGTGAAGGGCTGAATGGGATCGCTCGCTCGCGCGTTGTCTTGCGGCTTGCTTCACTTGCAACTCGAACTGGGGAAGAGCTTGCTCGCTGGCTGGTTCATATAACTGGCCATGGATGTGCATCTATAAAAAAAAATTGGTTATTTCTACACTCCACTTTCTTCGTAGAATCTAGGTTTGATTTCCGCCACAGTCGTGGGTCCGGTTTCTGGGAGCGCGGGTTCATTTGCCGAACAGTGGCTAGTAATCGAGCCCACGTATATCATGTCCTCGCCGCCGCTCCCCACCCCCCGCCCCTACAAAATAAGAGGAGGGGGCGTCCCTCCCAGTTTCCTATGGAAACTCTCTAGGGGAGAAGTTGTCAATAATAGATTACGTCTTTTGTCAATTGTACCACGCATTTATTATCTTCCATTACATTCATTCAACATCAATCTTTATCTCTATTTCTAATCTCTGTTTACACCTACATAGTCTTAATAAATCAAATAAAATTTAAGCTTTCAAAACTGACCACTTTTTTGCTTTTTGCGTCTGTTTATCTCGTCAATCTAACTGCCGCAAAGAGATTAGATACCTTCCGTGAAAAACTTTCTTAAACTAAACAACATTAATGCATCACTCAAGCTCTCACATTTACACAATTTGACCACAATACCGATTTGATTCTGCTCTTACTTAACCGCTGCTGTTCCTCAGATTGCTGTTACGGATCGGAAAACTGAATTCGAACTGAATGCTGGGGTACTTACCGTGTACGTGGGAAAACCGGAAATTCCGGTTTGAAAATCAAGAAGAACAAGAGCAAGAACTAGCACGAATGTATTTTTCATTTACCATACATTTGTCTGTAAATTTTATCGGAAAAATTTATATTATGCTGAAATAAGCTAGAACCTGGAATATTCTACCTCCGATTCCCCCTCAACATCCTAATGCGCTAACGTCAGTTTGAAATAAAAGCTGTGCTGTTTGTCTTTACTTGATCTCAAAAGCGCGCGCAAATAATGAAAAAGACTTACCCGTTTACTTTACAGAATGCATGCAGGTGGTGTAGGAAAAATGTCACTATAAAGTCCCCGACAATTATTCTTGAGACTAAGTCAGTGCATTAAGAAACCCACACAATGCTCGTCGGTTTCTTAAACAAACAACTGAAACAACTATAGGATGAGGCTGAGTGTGAGGAAGATAACACCATCCAAGATCTATTAAATAGAAGATAGCGGTATACTAAGTGGTAGCAAAAGAAAAATGCGCTATCCCGCCAGTGGTGATATCATTTCTATCTACACACGTGTGATATCATTTTTGACCAATTAGCTCACAATATTTTCCCGCGCTGTCAAGCACTTGTGGTTTTTCGTCTTGTTTGTTCCTTTCGCAGTTTTCATGAATCGAAATTAAGTTTTAAATTTATTATGTATAGTGGAGACAAGCTGGTTTGTCGAGATCAGAGAAGAGGAAGTGATCAAATTCGTAGAAGAGCAAGCAATATTCAGTCGCTGACGATCCAAACTCATTCCCGCCGCTCTTTAGGGTTCGGTCTCGTGGAGCGCTGGCTCACTTCCTTAACAGTGGCTGGTACTCGAGCCTATGTATATAACCCCCTCCCCACAGGGGTGCCCCTCCCAGTTTCCTTGGAAACTCCCTGAGGACGAAGTTGACAACAATAATAGATTACGCCTTTTGTCAATCGTATCATATTCATTATCTTCCATTACATTCATTCAATAACAATTTTTAGTTACATGTATATTTACAAACCTAACCCCTGTTTATCCTTACATCGAGTCTTACTGACTCTAGTAAAACTTTAGCCTCCAAAGCCACTAAATTTTTGTCGTTGTTGTTGTTCAATTGTTGATCTAACTGCCACAAAGCGATAAACAAATTTAATCATGACTCATGCTCTTATATTTTCACAACTTCACCACAATATCGATTTGACTCTGCCTTAACCGCTGCTATTTCTTGCATTGTATTGGATCGGGAAACTGCTGATTGCTGGTTACCTACTGCGTTGCAGTGTGGATATTGTTCAGTATTCTATATAATATATCAGGCAACAGTTTTCCATGGGCAATACTTTATTTGTTTTAAACAGGATCATGAAAAATTATCATCTTTTTGTAAAATAAGCCATCGAAAATTTTTGACCATTTGTTTTCCTATAATAACATTAACCGTTTTTTAACGTCCAACCAGTCCTCTCACCTAATTCTAGGATTTGTTTAATAAGACTTGTGAAAAAAGCAACTTCTGACGAGAGGATGTTGAATTGATATCATTTCATCCTTTTCTACATAAACCAACAATGTAATCAACAAGGCTTTAAGACACAATGTACTCAGCTGTCCTACCCTAGCTAGCTAAGAGACACATGCAAAAAGACAGTTTTAATTATGTGCTGATTGAATATAAGCCTGCGAAAACAGCCGTTTCTCCTCGCTCCTCTTCGCAAGGGACATTTCCCTAGGAGAGAAGTCTGCGTCTTAGCGACAGAAGTAGGGAGTTTAAGCAACGACGACGGCGACGGCAACGAGAACGGAAAAAAAGCAAGAGGTTTAGATTGGCAGCACAACAACAACTTTGCACGTGCATCACTCTGTTTTGTACAATTATTTGCCGTCGCTGCGCGACTACAACGTGAAAGTGCCTAATTTCACGTTGTGTTGAGGAAGTGAACACAAGACAACGACTTTCTTTTACTTTTCCTGAACTTTCAGTACAGTCTTTAAGAATTTAACTCCAGAAAAAAATGCCATTATTTGATGAATTGAACGAGTTGGAATGAATGCGATAAAGTTTGAGGTAGCGTGAATTCACTGTCGCCGTCGTTGTTGCCTAAGCTCCATAATTCCATATTGATGACGTAAATCAATGTTTACATAATTAATCCGGTTTTCATGGGGTTCCAAATCCAGATTCTCTCGATTTTATGTTTCTCCTGATTGTTTTTGTTAAAGTTTTGTGTTTATCTGCGAACGAGCTCTAGCAAAAGTCAAATACATGCTTCTTCTAGAGAAGAATATATTCAACGAATATTGATCGTTTTGTTATAGATCTATCGCCTTTACATTTGACCTGTGTCGCCTTTTGTCTTTTGTCTGTTAATTAATTATAAACAATAGCTAAAACAATATAACTGCTACATCGACCAATCACAGCTTCTGACCAGATTCCGGACAGATTTAGAGTCATCATTATTGAATTTTTTTCGCTGAGGCGCAGACGTTTTTTCTGGGGAAACGTCCTAAGCGGCCAGGAGCGAGGAGAAACGGCTGTTTTCACAGTAAGGCTTATTGAATATGTGGTTGCTATGAAATGCCATACTTAGGTCCCAAAAGGTTAAGACGAAAATCTAAATCTGCGTTAGAAACTTAGCCTAATTTTCTTCACGTTCTCTTCTCTAAATGCCATTTAGTCCAATTTAGCTAAAAAGGTTGTCATTCATGGCAGCCATGCCATTTCGACCCTGAAGGACATAGTTTAAAGTCACCAACATAACTTCCCGTGGATTAGCACTGTGGAATTCAAGTCAAGTCATTGACAAAAACTGTGAAAAGCAACGGCCCCAGGACATTGTCCAGGAAACATCGTGAGACATTGGCATCACCAAGTAGCTCTTGAACCATTCGATGACAAAGGATGACAAGTCACTGTCAAGTAGATTTTTTAACCGTATGTAGGTCCTTCAACTCTGAAGATGACTACTGTACAGGTTGTCAAAACGTCAGTCACTGTCAAAAACAGTCCTTTTCAGGACCACATTCACTCGACGATGATCTTCCCCTACTTATGAAGTGACTCCTGCATTCAAACCATTTGTAGTATTTGTGCCTTCCTTATATCCAAGGAACAGAGGTTGTCTGTTACGGTCTGATGCGCGACGTATGCAATAGTAAAATCTCTGTCGAATTCCTTTTTTGCTGCCACTGAGCTTAACGGAGTCGCCTATATAGTCCACCAAAGAAACACGAGTTGATTTAAAACGATGAAGATAGGACGATTGTCATATCGCTTCTCTTCGTCACCTTTTTCGGTGGAGATTTACTTCTGATCACCTGATCTTCAGTATGGTGCCTCAGCTTATTCATTGTTCTGCTGTAGCGGTCATTTCTGGTTGGTCCTGAGATACCAGAATGCCACTGTGTAAATCTCCTGGACCGGGTTGTTCGAAGCTGGGTTAAGTAACCCGGGGTTAGTGGGAAATTTGAACTCAGATATGAGAGCTTAAAAAACAAATTCAGTTTAATTCTCTTTGCCTACAGTTTGATGATTTGATACTCTAAAAGGAATATAGAAAATTATCTTAGACAGTGCTTTTGAGCAAACGAAAAAGAAGCCCTCGATAAAACCGCTAACCGGCGTTCGAACAACTGGGCCCTGAAGGTAATTACATCTGAGAATGTTACATAAGGAACTGAGATATGTAATGACACTTTTAGCGTAGCAAAAGCCAAGGTTTAGTAAATATAGTACTTGACAGGGCAGCAAGAAAAACAGTGGCTCATTATATTTATGAAGCATATTTAAACTTGAAAAGGAAACTAAGAAATTAACCACAATTATCGACATAGGAATCGTCCTCCCACTGGACGACAGTGCTTTTTTTATATCATCCAGGATGTCGGCAAGTTGATTAAAGTTTATTGTTCTCCATATTTACACAGACCTCATCGACAGGCATATTTGTAACTGTATAGCATCGACAAGATTCAGTAGAAGGCGTCACCTCCACAGTCAATACCCTTTGATGGCTATCACAAGTTGGCGATATGTTGGCTGTTAACGCGCTTACAGGAGACTTAGGAACGGTCAGCGGTAAATTGGCAGCCAACGACTCTTTCAGAGACTCACAGGTCACTGATTTATTATCAGTCAGAGAATTTCCACGACACACATGGATCACTGGAATTTCCAAAACTGGTAATGAGACTTCAGGAGACTTTTGGGTCAATGGCTTATCAAGACCCAAGGAGCTGGGCTGCTCAGAGGGCTCGCCAGTCAGTGGTATATTTGAAGCCAAACGACTTTTACTGGACTCGCAAGTCGGCGCTGAGTCAACTGCCAAAGAACGTTCAATTGAATCAAGGGTCCTCTGTTTATTGGCAGGCAACCCACTTTCTCGGGAGTCGAAATTCTGAGGTACATCAGCAGGCAAACAATGAATCGAATGAGTCGATGTATAGTGACGTTCACTGCACTTTGGCTGTTCCCTTTGTGCACGTACACCTTCAATAACAGCTTTCCTGTTGCGGTCCTTCCTACTCGGTCCTCTACAAAGTATTCGGTAGAACTCCTTTCGATAATTCTCGGAGAATATCACATAGAGGATTGGGTTAATAGCACTGTTAGCGTAACCAAACCACGGTGTGGTAAACAGAAATTCAATAGGAAGTGAATCATACAGTGGCCTGTTGTACTGACGAAGCATCTCCAAAGCTTGCAAAGGTAGCCAAGACAGGGCGAAGACAATAACTACAGTTATCAACATAGCTGTCGCACGCCTGCTGGACGACTGTGCTTTTTTGTTTGAGACCAAATTCCTATGGCCAGGAAGTTGTCTACTCCAGAGACGTATCCCTGCTAGACTGTAGACAAAGGCGATGATTATCAGTGGAATGATGTACCCACCTATAATTAGAACTAGGAAGAAAGTGTTTGCCGACGTGGGCGCCCAAAACTCTGCGCAACTCAAAAAATTCGTGCCTTCCAATTGTGCAGTTTTAGATGCCACCATGAGTGGAAGTGAGAAAGCCAGCGCTCCCAGCCAGACCATGGCGATCGCGAAACGTACAACGTTCCTAGTCATAACCGTCTTCATAGGAAACAAGATAGCAAAACTTCGATCCAGAGAAATTGCCACTAAACTAAACACGGAGGCTATTAGAGATCCCACTTGAGCAGAGTGAAAAAACTTGCATAAAACGGTGCCCATGAAGGTTCCAAACCATTTATCGCGGACGTAGAAAAATTTAAGTATGTACGGTATGTCTATGGTCATCAACAGATCAGCAACGGCCATGTTGGCGATGAGGGTGTTGGTTGAGCTGCGCATGTGGTTTACCGTGCAGACAATGTAAATTACCACAATGTTACCGATCAGCGCAAAGATAAAAATCAATACTGCAAATATGGTGACTCCGATTTGAATGTTTGGAGGTATGGAATACGAACCTCCACTGCCAGGTTCCGTGGCGTTGTTGGTAATGTTAGGAAACACCGATTCTGTGAAGAAAAGAGTATTATTAGAAGCCATACTACTTGATTAGAGGTGAGATTGGCATATCTACCAAAAAGTGTTTTTACTAAACAGTACTTACTAAGGGTATGATCTATTGACCGTATTTGTTTTGCCATTCATTGCAATGCAACATCTAGAAATGTGCTGAAATAAAATATTTCGATGTAATGTAGCTTTCAGTAGTCCAAGAAGTATGGTGCAAGAGGTTTGTAACAAAGCTTTAGCTTATTCGTATTCCGAAATACGAACAATCGAACGCACCCTAATAATGCTCAAGAAGTTGGGGGTGGGGGGAATCTAAGTATTATGCTGATTGAGCAACAGAACGGGAACGTCATTTGACTACGGGAAAGCGCGCGGAAAGGACTAAACTCGACTTCCGGTGCCCCTTTGCCGCTCTGCCATTGGTCAAGCGAGTTGTTTGATTTGCGCACCGTCGTCAACTGACGTTCCCGCTCTGTTGCTAAATCAGGCTATTACCATTGGAAGACAACTGAATAACAGATTCTTGTGATATGTCGCAAATCTTGCAGAAGGCCTATTGACAGCTGTCTAAAAAAGGTAACCGCTGTCCATTGTCATATGACTGTATCGCGGGCTCTAGTGAACACCTCATTGAGGGGACGTGATTTCTTATAGTTCTCCGCTGACCAGTTATGTTTTCAATTGATCACAAGCTCAGTTCCACTTTTTCAGGAGGAGTTCAGTTAACTTCTTGTTTATGGCAAAAGCTGAATTACTGGAGAAAACATTTCTTTAAAGATCCCACGAGAGCTTCGCTTTTGGCTTTGGCTAAATCTAAATACCGTATTACCCCCTAATTGTGTAACCGTGAAACCATAACTCCCTGACGTGACTAAAGCAACAATTCCACAAAAATTTCCAATATCATTCAGAACGACCTAATAAAGAGTGGTTAGAACGCTGAATTTGGAATCCAGAGGCCCCGAGTGCAACTGAATCTCGCCCTGACGGCCAGCTGGATTTGTTCTCCGTTGTTCGAAGTTTACATCCTCCGCCACGTTTGTAAAATAGCCAACGTACCAGCTGGGATTCCTTTTATGTTTCAGTGACCTAATTATGTTTCATTATCCGCAAGAAGCCCCTCAACGGGAGAAGATAATTAACTACTTTCACTCTAAGAGTAAAAGGGTTGAGGCGATATGTATCAAGAGCAGGGCCGTAGCATGGGGAGGTACCGGGGGACCCGTGCCCGCCCCTTAGTTTATATGCCCCAAAAAGTCAAAATATGCACGCTTAAAAGTTGAATATAAAAAATCATCTCCCAGGGCATTGAACCCGTGCCCCCCCCCTCTAGTTTATATGCCCCAAAAGGTCAAAACATGCTCGCTTAAAAGTTGAATATAAAAAGTCATCTCTCAGGGCATTGAAACAATGATGTCTCCGCAGCTAGGTGAAACATTTTTAGGTTGTAAGATACAAAGACCAGTTCAATGGGTCCTCCGGACCGAAAACCCTCTGCTTTTCAAACACAATGAGCTACCTAAAATCTTTCTGCCTTCCCCCCCCCCTCCCCCCCAAGTTTCTAAAGGCTTGCTACGGGCCTGCAAAAGCGAATAATAGGAGCCATTATTCTCCTTTGTACCTATTCAGTCGTATGACAGAAGTTTATTTCACACCTATGACAGCTACCAATTAGTCAAAGTGATGGAGTCTCGTAAGGTAACTTTTGACACTGTGGACTAAATCCTGTGGCGTGAACATCATTCAATGAAACCTCTTTGGCAGTACTTTCACATGGCATGGTGCTATCCATTATGCGTCGTTTTACAAAATGAATATAAGAAATTTTGTTATATTTTGACTAAGGCCAGTCAGCGTTTAACTGCTTTAACTGGTTTCAGGTTTTCGATAAGGCTCTTGAGTGTATCCTCTGTAAAGAAGGTTACTGAGGGAATAAGCTTTCTAGTGTAAGGAAACTATCTGTATTCCACTTGGATAATTATAAGGGTATAAACCTGTAATTACCTGTAGGTTCCATGCTCATCCGCGAAACTACAAACTCAGAAGATCTCTTCTCTTTCGTCAAGTAGTCGTCTGCTCTGAAGGAAAAAACACATCTGGTAAAATTTTTAAATAATTTAAATTCTAGATATTACATGACGCAAACCTTCATGATTAGATGCTTGTTCTCTGCATTCAATTAATCATTACCGAAAGAATGCAATCTGCTAGCAAGCTGAGCTGATCAGTGATTATAATCGCATTCATGTTGCTTTTTATTATTATTATTCTTTTCGCTGCCAAAAATTAGAATATATTAAACAAGTAAAGTTCTAAATTTTCTTCACACCGCAAAATAATTAGATGATCGTGTGAAAGAAGCTCCGGAGATGCGAATGAAAAGCAAAGAACCGCAGTTCATGTAGTTAATATTTGTCTCCATGTGATTAAAGCCATGTATAAGTGATATCAACAGTGTCAAGCCGACATATTTAACGGTAAAATGGAAATGTAGTTACGCTCACTAATCAATAATTAACTTCAAACTAGTAAGAACAAAGCGAATTTTGTTTAACTGAGAGTTATTTTGTTATCACCCAGGAAGAGAACTAATACAGCCACAATAGAATACCGTTAACTGCTCTCGGCTCATAAGCCCTGGGCTTCTACATCTTCTTCGTGAGGGCCTTAAACGGGAGGGCTTATATCCGAAGGGGCTTACACCCGAAATTTTAAAAAGCACTTCGAAACAAGCTTTGGCAGTACTGATTAAATTACGTTTGGCGCGTACAGGTTTTTCATTAAGCTTCAGAACGTCATGATAAATCGGATTTATTTCGGTACTAGAGTGGGGCCTATATCCGGGGGGACTTGTATTTCGGGAGATAGCCTATAACTAGCTTACAGCGTATATCCGGGAAATGAACCTATAACTGAGAAGGTTTGTAAGTGGTAGGGGTGGGGGGAGGGGGTTGAAAGCGACAGTTTAAGGCATTTTTTAGTCTAATCAAAAGGTTTTTCCTCGCCGGCGTTAAGCGGAATCATGCATGATCAGATTGCGAGTAGTTTAATGTATTTCCTTCAGATTCAGATTTAAGGGTACGGTAAACACCCGCATATAGGGACAAGTGGATTAAGAACATCAAGCTGAAAGTTGGCCAATAAACCACTATAGACGCAATATATACAAACACAAATTCAGCCCCCGGATAAATAGCGCATATTCTAATGTAAAAAGAACGAGGATGCCAGAATAAGAAACAAATACAGTAAGTTAAAGTAGTAAGGAGTGTTATAAACTCTAAGAGCCATACATTTACGGCAAGGTTTTTTGCGACAAAAAATTGTACAGCCTCGCGTTTAAAGGTATGAACTAGCTTTTTATATCCGTTTGCGATGTGTTTGTTGGATTTTTGATCTCGAATCAATGAATTATTGCTGATTTTTGGGCGATTAAAGTGATGCACTTCGACTTGATGAAAACAACATGGCGGCCCTAAACAATGAACGCGTAGTTCAAATCGATGTTATATTCCTTTCTGCCGTACTAACAAAAGAAAGTATTCTGTTCCAATCCAGAGTTGAAATTTTTTTTCTATCTTGTTACTGAATTCATAACTTAACTCATCAGTCTCTGTTTAGTTCCTATTTTCAACGTATCACTCCGCGAATTTCATTTTATTTTGCCTATTTCTTTGAGACTGGGGGCCCAGGCTTCATAAGCCTTCTGGTTTCTTCTAGGCTCCCTTGCCACCTTACAATTCCTATATGTATTCTTGTATTGTATTATATTTTGGCTAAATAAAAATTAACTGAACTGAACGCCTTGCTAAAACTTGAAATCTCGGCAACGCGAAACTGCAAACGCGTAACTGCAAACTGCGGTTTGCGGTTTGCGGTTTGCCTGATGCCAAAGGTCTCTAATACTTCAATACGCGCGTAAAAATTACGCGACAGTGGAAATCCACCTTAACGGTGCATTTGTGAAACTGGCACTGAGACAAGAAAATTATTTTCATTGATTTCGAAGTGTTTAATCTCGATGATATGATATGTTCTGTACTTGTTCATCCACGTCGATATCCCTGCACAGCAACTGTGCATTTTTTTTGTGCGTTTTCCTCTGCCATTTTCTGATAGGTCTTTTTTTACGTAGCAACGCCATCGTTAACAACATATGGGTAATGGGAAGAGGAGATGTTCTGATGAATTTTACTGTAGATTCCGTTGATTCGTTAGAGTGATATTCTTCTTGGATTTGTTACGCAGTTGTTCCCGATTTCCCGATGACATTTCTGGCAAACTGTTCGGAGGATCTTAGCAAATGCAGGAGTTAGATCAGAATTTTGGCAAAGCCGAAGGAAATCAATGATTCCATCATAGTTGATTTGTTTAGCAGCCAGAGCTTAATTTCTCAAGTCAACTGAATAATTCAAGCTCGTTACTTGGTTTTAAACCTTGCTTTTTCCTGAAATCCACTTCTCAATTCATGTCACACACCGAGGCAAACCCGCATTGAATTGGTTCTTCAGTCCTGGTTCTTTCCCAACCGATAGATCAAAGACTGGTTTCAGCTCGGTACTCGATCAATCCCGGCTGGTCACCCAACCAGTTTTCAACCTAACTTCTTTAACGAGGGTTTGCGAGATACCAGAGATACGTACTTCTAGTTAACTTAAGTACATTAGGACAAGGTTTTCAGAAAACCTTGAAACACTTGTAAAATTTCAATCTATGAAAAGCCCTTCTGCCTTGTGAATAAAGAGACTGGCAAAGCCTCTGGAGAAAAACATCAAGCAAAGAAATTTCAGAAAGGAAAAAGTGTTACCTTGGCTGTCCGTTATTTTCCTTTTTTTTTCGCACGTCTTTTCAAGGTCGAGGCGCCTGTTGAATCGAAAGTTCTTCTGCCGTTTTTGGGCTATATCCTTCAGTACTATAATCTACATATTAATTCATTTGAACTTTTATAATACAGAGTAACACCTGCAACTGACACAGTTCTTATTTTGTTTATTGATGTTTCTCCGGAAGACAATAAAAATTTGTCAAGT